GGGGGCAAATGACGTCATCTCCACGTTCATCCACGTGCTTTCTTTCGAGTGTTGTGCAATATTGCGGACTTTCGAGTGTCCAGGTAGCTTATTCTGGAGTGTAGCGGATAAGTTGTTTATTTAAAGATAGAAGTCAGTGTTAATGGCATTTTTATTTTGAAAACCTTGCACACATGTCTTCACGAAGTGTGTACGACTTTTCGTACGAACAGAAAGCTGTAGTTTGGCTGCGTGTTGTGTACCCTCTTCTCTTCGACCGAAACCAACGCCGCTTTCTGCTGAATAAAATTAAAGGAGGAAATGTGTAGCTTCACTTCGCTGGCCTAGATTTATGTGCGCAAAATATGTAACATAAACCTAACGAAAGTCTTTACGTAGGAAAAGAGTTCAACTCCCACAGGATTGCTTTGGTACACCAACATGTCTTCCGTTTCATTGTTTCGGAAGAGAAAATGCCCTGTAGCTGTTCCCCCAAAGCCAAGGCGATTCAAAGTCGTGTTTGTAAACAGAATAACTGTCCTAATTTTGGTAATAAAAGCACGTCGTCTCGCATACCGACGAAACAGGCATCGTTTATGTCGATTTACACGGTTAGTATAAAACAGGGACTGCGGACTGCGGACTACGAACTAGGTATAAAACACGGACTTAGGTATAAAACGCGGACTAAGCATTACGGACTGGGTATAAGACACAGAGTCATTTATAAAACGCGGACTGCGGACTAAATGCGGCTTACCAACTGCAGTACGTGTTTTTTACTGAACGGTCGTAACTAATATTTAGCTCCTATTAACCGAGCAGGTCTGTATAGGCCGAGAATCTTGACTGAGGTCGTGAGTACAGACCTCACTGCGTTCGGTCTGTACACACGACCGAGGTCAAGATTCTCCTATACAGCCCTCCTGCTCGGTTAACAAGATGTTTATTATAAGGTAAAAAGAAAAATTTAATTCGTTTAATGTAACTGGTTTGTACCAACTGACATTTTGCTTGCGACCGGCGATGAGCTGAATTTAATTCTGCCAAAATTTTCTGGTCCTCTTTCCTTTTTTTTTTTTTTCTCATCAGGCTTTTTGGCACTTCCATAAATAAATACTGTTAGATGAAAATAGGCAATGATTTTGCATTTTAGTTTGCAACTTTTNCTTTTTTTTTTTTTTCTCATCAGGCTTTTTGGCACTTCCATAAATAAATACTGTTAAATGAAAATAGGCAATGATTTTGCATTTTAGTTTGCGACTTTTTCACTGCAAAACATTACCGGTCTAGATGCCGGTCTAGATGGGAAAATCTAGACCGCTTTCAATAGCGATTTCAGCCAATCAAATTCATGAATTTGGTAGTTCCCAGTCCTTGTGAGACACAGCCATATAATAATACATGATACATGTATAAGAGACAAAACCCTCTCGTGCCCGTGCTTTGCGATCAATTCATTTGTTTTCGCTCCTGCTGGACAGAGGCCAATTTCACGCCTACCTAACAGCTCAGGCACGAAATGCTGTTCCTAGAGTTTTTGCCTTTTTAACATACCAAATCTACCAAAACTCGAACGCACTCTTTAATCTACGATTACTAGTAGTACCAAAAGTAGTCGTAAATGTCATGATGATATCAACGGCTGGCCTAATGCTTCAACCTTTGTCCTGCTCGAGGGGGTTTCATACCAAAACAAAAGTACATTGTAAATACATAATCAATCACAAGAAATACGAGTAACTCAATAAGCCAGTCTTACTTTGAATATTGAACTCTTTATTTCACGACTGGAAGTTTGATGTGAAAAAAATCAAATCAAATCTAACAATCACAGCCTTTATTATAGGGTTAGCTCGGTGAGCGGGCAACATGAATCAAATCCTGCGCTGTGATTGGCTACCCGAGCGGGCAAGATGGAGCT